CCCTCTGCCTGTGCTGGAATTTCTAGATGGGACTGACATACTGAAAGAGAGGCTGGAACACAAAGCTTGTCCCAATCTAGATGATTGTAGGATATGCATTTATTGTCATTTTTAAATGACTAATTAGAAAGTGTGGCATTAGTTATGATAAAAATACTCTCATAGTTCCCCTATCCCTCCATCCCATAATCCTAAGTGTAGTAAAATTCTCCCATTGGACATCCAGACCATTATCTCTCAATTTTTCTGTGCTTTCAAAAAGACACTAAAATGCCAATGTCTTTAGTGAAAATAATTACATATGTAAATTAGCTATTCTTTTTTTAAGCACTTTTTTATTGTGAAAATACTGTACAGAGGGGTTACAATTACATGGGCAAGATAATGAGTACATTTCTTATTAAGCATTGTAGCCTCCTCCTTAGTTTCCCCTTCCCATCCCATCCTCCCCTTTTCCCCTCAGTAAATTAGCTATTCTTATTGACAATATCATGAATGATATAAGTAGTAAAAAAAAAAACATTCCTTGCATTGGTTGTGTCTTATGAACACAAACCTGTAGTAGGCATGAGTTATTAAATGAGCTAAGACTAATGTTTTGATACTTTTCTTAAGATCTAACAAATAAGTGACTTTTCAACTATCAGTTTTGGAAAGAGCCTCATTTTTGAAAATGTCTCCATTAAAATAATAGTATAATTTCAAACAGTATAGCTTCAAAATATGTTGCTAATACAAAACCTCCAGTATTTATTTAGTAAAAGAAAATTTCCACCCAGTAGGTACTATACTTCAGGAGACTCAAGGTTTATCAAAACAAAACCATAATTTCAGATTCCAGCATAAGCCTGTAGATAAGCTTATCTTATATGTGGGTTCCACTCAATAAAATATACTATGGTAGGGCTGGGAAGGTGGCTCAGTGGTAGAGCGCTTGCCTTGCATGCATGAGGCCCTGGGTTCGATTCCCCAGCACCACATAAGCAAAAAGGAAAAAAGCCGGAAGTGGCGCTGTGGTTCAAGTGGTAGAGCACTAGCCTTGAGCTGAAGAGCTGAGGGACAATGCCCAGGCCCAGAGTTCAGGCCCACGACCGGACCCCCCCAACAAAAAAAAAAAAACCCAAAAATATACTATGTTAATACATATGATTTCTTTCAGTACTCCTTTGTGAACAGATTTGATAAGATCACATTAATCTGAACTCAACTTTTCTCCTCGATGTCATCACAGAAAAACAGCATTTCCACTTTTATTTTTGACAATCTTAAATTAAAATCATATACATATTTTTTGTTGTTGTTGTCATGGGGCTTGAACTCTGGGCCTGGGTGCTAACCCTCAGCTCTTCAGCTCAAGGCAGGCACTCTACCACTTGAGCCATAGTATCACTTCCATTTTTCGGAGTGGCTTTTTGGAGATAAGAGTCTCATGGACTTCCCTGCTTGGGCTGGCTTTGAACCGTGATCCTCAGATCTCAGCCTCTCAGTAGCTAGGATTACAGGCGTGAGCCACAGGCACCTGTCTAAAAATCATATTTTCTATACCCATAGCTGGTGGCGTCACATGTTGCTATCTAAAGAAGTAACATTGTCCTCAGCCCTCCAGTGCCATGTCCACTTCTATCCCCAAGTAGCTCCTGAATCCTTTCACTACATGAAAGCATGTTATATTGCCTTTTCTATTGTGATGTCAAGATCTCAGTTCATAATCAATTTATTTAGGCATACTACAATTTCTCGCCACTATTATCTATATTTCTTTTACATATTTGCATGAAACTCTCATGGACTGAACCATGGGAACTTTTCCTAAAGCATACATTTTATCAAGTCATGTTTTCCGTTTATCAACTCACTAGAAAACCATAGAAAAATAAACCAATTAACATAGTTTATCATAATCTGCTTAGGTTTATCTCTTAGAACTTCTTTTTATAGTCAACATTTCCTAAATCCATTGTATTAACCATTGTTTATTATTTTTTTTTCCCCATATTTTGTGCTGATCCTGAGACTTGAACTCAGGGCCTGGGTACTGTCTCTGAGCTTTTATGCTCAGATAATATTCTACCACTTGAGCTACATCTCCAGTGTTGCCTTTTTGTTGATTAATTGTAGATAAGTGCAGCATTATTTACCATAGCTAAGATATGGAACCAACCCACATGCCCCTCAGTAGATGAATGAATGAAGAAAATGTGGCTATAGGGCTGGGAAGGTGGCTCTGTGGTAGGGCACTTGCCTTGCATGCATGAGGCCCTGGGTTCGATTCCTCAGCACCACATAAGCAAAAAGAAAAAAGCCAGAAGTGGCACTGTGGCTCAAGCGGTAGAGCGCTAGCCTTGAGCTGAAGAGCTGAGGGAGAGTGCCCAGGCCCAGAGTTCAGGCCCACAACCGGACCCCTCCCCCCCAAAAAAAGAAAACGTGGCTATATATATATATATATATATATATATATATATATATATATATATATATATGAATTCTATGCTTCCTTCAGAAAGAATGACATGGCCCCATTTGTAAGAAAATGGAAGGACTTATAGGTCCCATGGTTTCACTTATTTGTAATAAGTAATGTATGTTTAGGACAATCTTAGCAGATGAGCAGAACAGCTCAATAGTTATCTATGTACATATGACTATATAGGATGATGCTAAGCGAAATGAATTCCAAGACATGGACACAAGAGGTTTTTCTATGTTGTCGCTGTTTTCAATGTACTATGTGATTTCTTTTTTTCTTCCCCCCCACATTTATTTCATTTATTAATCTGCATGTAAGATTCAAACCTAATTAAAATATTAAACATTATAAACAGGAAATCTTAACATTTCGGTTTCCTCTTTCCATGACAAATGAGATATAATACTTTTGTCTTTTGTGTTTTTTCCCCCTATGGTTTATCTTCTGTTGGCATGATATTTTATTTTGGTACCCTGGGTATTGTATATACTTTTATCTGAATTAGAGAAGGGAAGGTGAGACAAAAAACAAAGGGGAAACCAAGGTAACAGCAATACTACAAGACAATATGTTGGAAATGATCCGTACAACTTGTGGAGGGGTAGGGAGGAGGGAAAGATGGAGAAAAATGAGGGAGGGGGTAACAAGTTTGATAAGAAACTAACTTACATACATATAACCCTCTGTATATCACCTTGACCATAAAATTAAAATTAAAAAAAGAAAGAGTCTCAAGGTCTTTCCTGCCTGGCCTGACTTCAAACCATGATGTTCAGATCTCAGCCTCCTGCATACATAGGATTACAGGCCTAGCTTTGTACTGTCCATTCTTTATCCATGGATAATCTGTGTTTTCCAATCACTACAATGGCCTTCTCAATTTGTTCTACTCAAAGAGCATCCAGGCTTAAAATTATTTCCCTTAATATCAGGTTCTCTCTCTTTATCTATTTTTCTTTTTCTTGTCACATGTTCTTGACAAGACACAGAAAATAAACTGTGTTTTCTTATATGCAGAGGTAGGTAAAACTCAAAATCCTTAATCTTGTCTTATTACATATGTCAATATATCATTGACAGACATCACAATAGGAAGGTAGAAAGAAGGCACTAGGGAACTCTATATTGTCAAGTGCCAGAGAAACCTTTACTTAGTATTATTTTTAAGTAAGAAATACATTTTTGTTTTTGTTTTGTTTTTGCATTACCTATTGAACAAAGACCTTTTCTTATTGTATCTGAGACCATACGGGGATTTCATGTTGGTGCCAGGCATTTTGATCAAGGGTCAGATATAATTGTTGGCGCTTCAGAGGAGAAGTAAATTATTTCTGTGCTAATATGTTCTGCAGTTGCCATTGTTTTCATGAATCCAGTAAGAGTCATTATGTCTTTAAAAGCTGCATTACACCCTGCTACTTTGCCAAAGTTTGAGATCAGCTTGAGTAACTTCAGAGTAGAGTCTATGACATTCTTTAAATACAAGATCATGTTGTCTGAAAAGAGGGAGAGTTTTATGTCGTCTTTGCCTATTTGGATTTCCTTTATGTTTGCATCTTGTCTTATTGCACAAGGTAGGCATTCTAATACTATATTGACCCTGGGTATTGTATATATGTTTATCTGAACTAGGGAAGGGAAGGGGAACAACAAAATGCTAAGACAAAGGACAAAGTAGAAACCTATCTAACAGTGATACTCACAAGAAAATATGTTGCAAATGATCTGTACAACTTGGGTGGGGAGAGTACAGATTGGGAAGCAGGGAAAGAAGGAGAAAAATGAGGGAGGGGTAACAAGTTAAAATGTAATCATACCTTACTTATGTAACTGTAACCCTTCTGAACATCACTTTGATAATTTTTTTATAGCTGCATTATACTTTTGCTTCATAATGATTTTCAAAATTAGAATACTGCTGTGTTGTGCTGTCTTCCTATTGTAAATGCTGGCAATAATCGTACATGCCAAGCAGCTTTCTATCCTACACACAGAGCTGGTATAGGCTTTCAGTGAAAAGATTCTTACTAATATTAAGAAAGAAATGAAACAGTAAGAAAATGAATACAGACAGACATCAAAACATCCTCTAACTACTTCGGTTGCTTACTTCATGCTCCCGTGACCTGCCTCTTTACTCACTGAGGCTTTTAAAGATGGCCATTTTCCATATCTTAAAAGGAAGAGATAGGAAAACGACTCCATCTTCCCAAGCACAATCTGATCTTCCCCAAGAAGTGGAGAAAAGGAAGAAGATGATTCTCAGTGACAACTTATGCAATGTTTTCATAAAGACAAATGACCATGAATGGTACTATCTGAAAATGTTCAGAATCATACTTTCTAGTCTCAGATTATAGCTCAGGTATAATTCAGTATAAGTGAGATAAGTTTTATCAATTAACTATTTGAAGTTCCTCATTTTTCAGAAGAAAGCAAGATCAATGTTAGTTTTTCTTATCCCCCAATATAATAATAATAATAATAAAACCCTGAACTCAAATAGCCCTCTTCAGTTCAACGAAAAGGATATTTTCCTGGCAATGCTGTTCCAACCCGGTAATCAGTATAGCTCTTGCTTGGATGGAAGTTGAAAATGAAAAGAAGGTTTGCTCTCTCAAAAGTGATGATCTTATTGCCTTCATGCTTTTCACTCACATAGGCCTGTAATAATTAACATATGTTACCTTTAAATAACACTGAGATGCAGCTATTATGGGAAAGTCCTTTTATTTTTCTTAATAATCTTGTTCACTGCTGAAAGTTCCAGAAATTTTTATTTTTAACATGTTATAATTTTGCTATCTAGACCACTTATGACAACGTCACCTATTGCAGAGAGAACATAAAACATCTTGCTAGCCACCTGCTAATCTCAAATGAAGCACAGATTAGTGCTGTGGCTTAGGTTTTTAAGTAAAATCACAGGATCCGCACTATATATCAAGTATTCATTTGTATTAAATCTACTTATAAGTGCATGTTCCTTAGGAATATTTTTAATCCCCAGAATAATATGTCAAGGTACATAAAATATTACTTTTCAAAATTTAATGTTACTATATCTAGATTCTGAAATTATAGTTATTCTACAAATCATACATTTGTATACTATGTAATCAAAATCATAGGCAAACTAAAGCCCATTAAAATATGGTGGGTGTTTTCTGTTCTCAAAACATGCCTGAAAAGAACCTATGGTTGCACCCTTCTTATGTGAAACATCATGCATCCCCAGAAGGCTACAACTAGCCTCTGCTTTTCCAACAGCCTCCTGGCCTAGCTCAGCATGAAGAGGACTTGCATGCAAGCACAGAAACAGCATCACTCTTGGTGATTTAGAAATGAGAACTTGGCTCTAGCGTAAACAGTGTGTCTTTTGATATTCAACACCATTCCTACTGAAAAGAAGCATCATTTTGCTCATTTTCCTGGAGATGGCATTACTAATAAATGTGATTAGGGTACTGGTGTCATGTAGCCAATCTTACTGAATATATAAGTACCTTTGTTCAACCATCAAAAAAAAAACCCCAGACACCAGTGTAAAAACACATCAATAGTCATTTCAAACAGCATCAATATAAAGTAAATGGATTATAACTAACACGTACTATATGCTAATTTTTGCAGTGGGGAGGAAAAAAATACCTGAATAAAATTTGCACCTGTTAATTACATTTTCTAAAACTTACTGAAAACTTAAATTTCAAAGGAGATCCAGACTCATGAAAAATACTAAACAACACACAAGTATAATGGCATCAAATCAAAATGACAAGTTAGAGACTAATAAAGAAGGGGGGAAAAAGTAAAGCTTACATTTTGTCAAAGTAGCTTCTTTATAACATTGTAATTATTTATATAAAGAAAAAGCAGTCAAAATAATTAAGATATTTCCACAGCAATCTGCAAAATGTGTTCCAGGGAGAGCTTTTATAATTTAGTTTAACCAATTGAAATAAAAATACTAAATTTAAACAAGAGCAAACTAACCAAGAAAGTAAACAGGGCATTTTGTTTCAGATTTCCATTATCTACTGGAGAGATTTCAGTGGCATGTTTTGACAACCTGAAGTATGTTACAGTGAACCACACACTGAATAACAAAGCAGTGTCTGGGAGATCTGCATATAGATTTAAAATGATTGTCATTCTAAGCATGTCCAGCATTGGTGACTAAAACATCACTTTTAGAGTAAAGAGCTTACCTGTGGAGCTGAAAGCCAGCCACATCTTTCCTCCAATCTATTCATATCCCTGTCAAAGTTATTTAGGAGTTTATAGCGAAGAAGGTCGTCATCAGTTAAATGAAACTGTCTTCTGGCATAATGGTAACTCTCATTATTTCCTTTCCTTGGGAAGTCTAACCATTCAGGATGCCCAAACTCATTTCCTGTATCAAACAAGAACATACAAAAAAAGTGTTAACTATCACCCCAAATATCAGTAATTCATGCTATATATGTATATACACACACATATATATGTCATGATATATGATTTGAAAGTCGTTATAATTAGTTCAGAGTATAAAATATTATCACTATACTCTGAGAAAGATATAAAGACCTTCAAAACCATAGTGGTTTTGTGAAGAAAGTGCATTTGGATTCTGAAGCCTTATAGTCCAGCTTTACCTCGAACACTCATTCCTGATTATACATCTTGGTTTCCTCATGTGCAAATGAGGACAATTACATTCATCACACTTACCTCATCTCTGAAATAATCTAGGAGATCAGGAATTTCTGAAAATCTCTATCTCTGTAACCTCTGCAACCTATAACTATGCTTTACAATTTCCACTGGCTTTGTATATACTGTTGCTCTTTGATCCTCTAAGGAATCCTCTATTATATTCATTTCACAGATGAGAAATTCAGAGCTCTGGGCAGTTAAGGGATTTGTTCAACCTTACATATATAATACTAAGTACAAAATAAGCATTAAAGTTTACTTTGTGTGATTAAAATAACCATGTTTTCTATCACAATCTTTAGGCAAACATATTGTGTATTTCAGGTGTTACAGAAATCCAAGCCACATTTATATTATTTTCCTTGATTCCTTTTAATATCTATTTTCTATCATTACATGTGTGTCTTCTTCTGAAATTGTGTGTGTGTGTGTGTGTGTGTGTACACAGCTGGCACTAACTGAAGAATCCATTTAAACATTATTTCTCACTAAATAATTAGACCTAGAGATCCAATAAATTAAAAAAATATATAATATAGTATTTGACCTGATAATTAGATTTGAATGTCTCCTTTTGTTTGTCCCTATTTAGTTACTAATTTAAAGTGTTTTCCCCTAAAATTTAATTTTTTTTCTAAATGTACCTTTATGTGCTTTCTTTCTAAATGTACCTTCATGTGCCACTATAATAACAATAATTTCCAAAGCCACAAATTTGTCTCAGAAGCAAAAACTTACATGACAAATGTACTTGGATTGTAGAGCTGTTTGGTTCTTTTTCCACTCATTTTACAGGCCAAAATTGTATAAGGATGAATTTATTCATATTTTTATTAATACATATTCCCAAAGCAACATATTAATGTGCTTTGTATTATCTACACTTCCTACTTCAAAGAAACTAGCATATTAACATTCTAATAAATAAATCCTAATAAGCTAGGATTTAATTCCAAATGATTTACTATAGGGACTTCAAATAGTAAACTTTGCCAAGAAACACTGCAAGTTACATTTAATTTTACAGGGCTAGACCATCTAAAATTTAAAAAAAAAATGTAGCAATTCAAACCCTATAGCAATTTCACAAAAAGAAAGCATCTGCAAACATTTTACTAAATTCTAATAGTTCAGTCAATTAAAACAAAGGAGGAGGCAACAATGCTCAATAGGAAATGTACTCCTTACCTTGCTCATGTAACTGTAACCCCTCTGTATGGCATTTTTACAATAAAAAAATGTACAAAAAAAGAAAAAAAAAGTATTTCTGGGGATGTTGTACCACATGTAACAAAGAAGGAATCCAGATTTCTACCTCTCTGAGATCTACATTAACATTAGCATGCTTTAAATTCATATTAGTAACTCTGGTCTGTTATAGTTAAGAGTCCTGCCTTGGAATTCAACCTGTATCAGCCCAAGATATATTGCTGGAACACATCGCTCAGCCATTCGGCAGGGAGAATCAAGTACATCCAGAATTACAGACAGAGCATGTTCTTTAGTGAATGTGGAATAAGGGCATATGCAAGCACCTAAGTAACTACAAGTGGGATTTCAAATACTGGTTATTTACAATGGGATAGCTAGTCTGCTATTTAGATAGCAGATTAGATTCAGGCTTTCTATGGGAAAAAATACTTTTGTACTAGTCATGGCATTTAGGGTTGATTTCAGTATTAATAAGAGATTCTTTCACCTTTCTTGTGGAGAATGTGACAACACCATCATCAAAGAAGAGAAAGTAAGGAAATTATAGATCTATTATAAACTAGTGTCTATTGTAAGCACTTCATAGGAATTAGTTTCTTCTGTTTTTATCAACACTGTGATGTAGGCATCATATCATTATTATTAATATTTAATGAGGAAACAGAGACACAAGGAAACAACACAGTCAATGAGTAGTTGAAACCAGTCTTGTTTTGGTAAACTGATTTTAATTACTAATAAACACACTGACTTGCTCAGAAGCAAATGCAATGCAAATGAACTGCTAAGAACAAGCAACCTTTCCTTGTGTAGGAGAGATTCCACGTTAATTCAATAAAATGCACTAAAAGCATGGAGAGAAAGGTGATTCACAGTGAAGAATTCAGATTAGTCACATAACACGATTTGTACTGAAGAGAAATGGCAGGCAAGATGCAATTAAAGTAGTAATAGTCTTATATACTTTAGCCCTTCTATCATAGGGAATAAGAATTAAAGCTGGCTTTAAGTAGAAGAATAGAAGCATCACATGTATATGTTATTAAAATGTTTGATAGACTATGAGAGGCAATGGATATCAGATGTTGAATGGTAGATAAGCTGAGTGGCAACTACCTATGAACTGCAATCAACTGCAGTAAGAATGATATAAAGAACATTAATACAGGTAGCATTTCTGAGAGAGAAAGAACAATACATCATGACTAGGTGAGAGAGGAAAAGGGACATTAGATAAAATTTTGAAGTTCTGAATCCAGGACACAGAGTAATGTTCAGATTAACTGCTATGGGAAAAATAGTGACAAAGTTTGGTATAAGAAGATAATGAGGTCAATGTTAGGTGTATTAAATTTTAAAATGTGAAGGGTTTACAGGCATTCAGGGATTTAGAGTAAAAGTAATAAAAACAAAATAAGGTATTGTAATTCAGGAGAGAAAGTGAGGTCAAGAGCAAGAGTAATTTGTAAGCCCTCAGTAAATAAAAGGCAAAGGCCCCAAAGGAAAGTGGGACCAGGAAGATCCCTGGCAACAGCAGGCAGAAAGGAGATTAATTAAAATAGTAATACTGAGGAGCAACAGTTAGGAGGACATTAGAGTGGTGTCAAATGCAACTAATATATGTATATGAAGATCTTATTATATTATCAACCCTTTAGTATAGGAGCAAAATGGTATTGATTGCACTTTTCAGTCTATATTGCACTCCAGAATAATTAATGGACATATTCATCCCCATTCCATTACCTTTAGGGACAGGCTCAGGCAGAGACATATGCATGTATATGTGTATGCGTGTGTATGTATGTATGTATATATGTGTATATGTCATAGATATTTGAGATTTATGTATTATATATATATGATATAAACTTCCCCATACATTCTGAAAGTAGATGAGCTGAAGACTTCACTCTGAAAAACAAGTGTAAAACCTTGAAAATTCTTTATGCCGAAGAATAGTTACACAACATGTGGTCAATGAACATAGATTTCCAAGACTGTGAGACTTAGATTTAAATTCCAGTTAAACCACTTATTAGTGATACGAATGTAGGTCATTACTTTGAGCTGTCAGTTTCCTTACCTGGAAAATAGAATAACAAGTTTCAAAAAGCTCTTGCAAGGTTCAAATCAGGTGACATGAGTGATGGGCTAGCAATTCTATACATTTAGTGGATGGGGCTTTTATGCTATATACTCCCACTTACTATGACATTATTCAGAAAAGAATATCCTAGAAAGCATCAGAAGAGTTACATTAAAGCTACAGTTTCTAGGTGACATCATTCCAAGCAGAAATGGTCATAACTACTATGAGCCGACTTACAAATGGCTTTAAAGTTCTGATTTTTTACAGTGTCCGTAATCCTATGTATAGGAGATTCTTGGTCTGAGGCTAGGCCTGGGCAGAAATGCTAGCTAACTAAAGCAAAAGAGGGTATGAAATGTTCAAACCCCAATGGGTTCAAGTCCCATTTTTAGCAGTCTGAACTCTTATAAGTGAATTCATAAAGTATATATATATATATATATATATATATAGAGAGAGAGAGAGAGAGAGAGAGAGAGAGTTATGTGACAATGTAATGTAAAATTAAATTTCAAAGCTAGGAAAATAAAGCTATTAAAATCATAAGATGAAACTATTTTGTTAGAGAATCACTTATTCATCTCTATTAGACTCATTTAGATTTCCTAAAAAAAAAATCTTTCCCTAGAGAAACCTCTTTTTAAAGTAAACATATGGATACCTGCATACAGGAAAAATACTGGAAAATTTTATCATTGATTGCAGACAAACATTGTATGTACAGGGTGGCTTTTGAATGTTATCTCTATTGGAATGAGTTGACAAGGGACAAATTAAGTTTAATATGGACAAACACAACAGTAAATTTCATTTTTGGTTCAAAACTGTAAACACAAGCATAAAATAAAGGGAATCAAATCAAAGAAAGTCTTTCAAAGTGACCTTGGAGTAACAATGATCCATTTATGGTGTGCATAGAAAAAAATGGAAAATGGATTTTAGTATCATACCCCCAGCTCACAACTCATAAACCTAAAAAAGAAAACTACTATCATTAAAAAAATAAATAAAAAACTTTAAAAAAGTTAAAAATGTCCTCCATGGCTATTGTCTACAAATTACTTAGAAATGGGAAGTACTTGAGAGAGTACAGTAAAATATAGTCACAAAAATTAGCTTATACTGAAGAATTGCTACATAAAAATGAGTTTATTGTTCATGCCTGAAGATCATGGTACAAAGCCAGCCTGGGCAGGAAAGAGACTCATTTCCAATTAATCATCAAAAAGCTAGAAATGGGTATTTGTCTTAAATGTTAGAGACCTACCCTTGAACATGAAAGATCAGATAGTACCTAGACCCTAAATTTAAGTCCCAAGTGGCACCAAAAAAAAAAAAAAAAAAGAATGGTGACGGAGGTTCATCCCTTTAATCCTTAGCTACTCAGGAGG